CATCTGTCGGCGTGTGGCGTTGCAAACAGCAAGTTACAAGAACAACGACCACTGTCGAAATAATAATTTTAGGTAAAAATACTATTATAACAATATAATGCTTATATTATAGCTATTAATACAACAATTATCAGAATATTTTGTAATAGTTTTGATCGGCAGTCGACACACACGGACCCGCCGACGCGGATTATCTGAAATTATGAAATCAATCATGCGGTGATCGATGATCACATCATCGATCGTTGGACTATTTGGTCTTATATTTCTTAATTTGTATATATGTAAGAGCTCTGTTGACTAGGTATAATATAAATAGCAATAAATATTAAAGACATAACATTTAATTTAAATTATCAATCTGCATCGACATCAATAACATAATAATCGAATTATTACCACAGATTATATGAAAATATAATAATTTCATATAATCTGTGTTATTACTTAAACGCAATGCGTTACAACCTACCTGATGAACAGTGCACATTAATAGCCGATAACTCGTGAGTTTACTACATGTCTACAATATAATATTAATAATAAAATAATTTATTATTGAATACAAATATTATTTAAATGATAATTCCTATAAATTAGAATACGATTATTTATTATTATTACAAGGTGCCGCGGCGGTCTTAGCGAGCGCCCCGACACCGCTCCGGCAGATGGCTCTGCCCGCGGCGGCGGTGGTGACGTCAACGGTTTTCGACGGCCGTTTCGCCGCACGGCCGCCTTGTGCGGCGTGCGCACGCGCATCACTTCCATTTGCCGCGCAGCCGTCAACACAAATACGCGATAAACAAGTTTTTTTTTAATGATAGACATTAGACTTTAGACGTTTGTTTTTTTTCCCTGCTCCGACCGTGGGCCAACTATACCGAAACAAGTGGGTGTCCGATCGAGATAATACCGTTCGAATTACTTACGGTGACTGCCGTTTTCGTGTGCATGCGATCGTGTCGTGTCGATGTGTGTAATTTAATTATTAATTTTTGATTGGCGATTTATGATACCCTGCCCGCACGTCTATCGCAAAGTTGTATCCCCGATTGGGTTTTCGTTTTTATTTTTGACGATCTTCGGTTCATCAGCGTGCGTGTCTAACTCCAGAGCCCACAGACTGTCCGGAGAGACCCAGAACGCTGCCCATCTACGACCGGTAAGCACGTCCAAAATGCATTACGCACGAAACACCAATAAGTATTTACAATAATTAATCGTAAAAACGAGGCCTATGTCGTCGGCGGTGTCCCGAAATATTCGTGTGCAGCTACGAGGACGATAGTGGAATTGATTTTTACCGTGGGCAGCTTACTAGGATTCCATTTTAGTGTCCCCCCCCTACTCTGTGTAATGCCTTTAAATGACATGTAGTCTGTACTCTTGATGCTACTAATAACGGTGTGTGTGTGTGAGTGTGTCTACAATATTAGGTGATTCTGCAGTATTTATCGAGATCTTCGTCTCTATAAAAGTTATTAATTGCTCTTTTGTGCAACCTACTATTAAAAAACGTTATCACTGAATAATATAACACTCCAATGATAACTGACAGATTCATAGCCATAAACATAGCATTGATTTAAAACACTGCCGTTGTACTATAATCTATATAGGTATTTATTCTGTATTCAAATAACATTCTTGTACCATTATGTAAGGTCTTGTATCACCTGTTAGAACATACGTTTATGCACATAATTATTTTGTTTTCATGTATTATCTACCTATAAAAAGTGTCAAAAACAATCACAATGTTTAAATTTCACCATAGCAATATTTTTACACAACTAATAATGTTGTTATTTTATAGAAAATTTCATTATACCAAACATCATATAAAAATTAATAGTTACTCGTCAGAAAATGACATTTTAATTTTTAATCCTCTTATCAATTCAATGTTTTACACATTGAATAATAATTTATTAAGTACTTGTATAAGAACCTAGTACCTAGGTATATTTAATTTTTTTTACGTTAAGTCAACAATTTATTACTATGAATTTAATTTAAAATCAGTGATAATGTATTTTAATTACCTTTTGCTTTTAGATAACACCCAGTGGTGAATGTTGATACATTTAATTAATAATTTTAGAAATTATGTAGCTATCCTCTATCCAGCGAGAGAACGCACTGATTCTGCGCATCCCCCCGCGTCACCTTGCTATTGAATCAGGTTCCCCTATGACAGGGTGTTGCGTGGGGAACCCATTTTGGTCGGTACGTTCTCTCGCTGGACAGACCATAGGTATTGATCTAAAAATATAATTAAGTACCTAGGTAATATCCTGTAATATCTTAATAATATCAATAAATTCATTAAGTATATAGGTTAGGTACTCAATATCATAATATTAATTCTTAAATATTTCCACCAAATTTATTTTTAACTAGAAATTATTGTAGTTAAATATTATACTTTTTTAATCCTGAATACCTACTTAATTAATCTCAATGTTTAACAGTTTTTGATAAAGAAAAAAATGTCCATCATACCTGAAATTGAATAGTGATAGCTACCAGGCCCGGACTGGTAAAAAAGGGCACGGGATGCTACACAATTTAAAGGGCCAAAAATAAAAACTATAGGGGAAAATTTGTAGATTATTTATAAAATATTAATATATTTTATTTTGTTTTAAAAAAATATTAAAAATTGAATACACGTTAAAAACATAAATAAGTACCACGTTACAACAAACTTTCAAAATTAATTAATTAATCAATTAATCAAAATTCTACGATATTATAGATTATTAATAATCGTAAGTTGGTAATGATCTGCTGTTCATCAAGTATCTTGAGTCTTTAAATATATAATAAATAATATTAGGCAAATATATTTTAGGGCAAGGGATGCTGTAGCATCCCAGCCAGTCCGCGCCTGATAGATACAATTTGTTATATATATATAATAGATTTCATCTAGATTCTAAGATAGTAGTGTTTTTCTGTGCATCATAGGTAATTATAAAAAAAATAGAAACAAATTTAATACCATTGAAGATGACAATGAGTACGCGATTCTCCTCCCTTGGGATATATAAATAGTTTTTGAAAATCTACCCCTCCCTAGAATAATCCTGAATCCACATACCATTTAAATGCATAAATATTTCAATAAAAAATATAACTATCTTTTCTTTACTCATCATAAGTGTTTTGAAGTTGTAGCATTTGCATGTTTTTTGTGGTTTATTAGTTGCTATGTAAGTTAGAAAGATTTGGTGATTTTTTTTAGTACCTAATAAAAACATCATACATTTTTTGAGTATATTATATATTATATAATGATTAGGGTGCAATTTAAATGGTCTAAAAAGTGCATAGGTAATAAACTCATGCATATTTAATAAGAGCATTAAGTTTCAATCCCTTTGTTCTCGTTGTATACATCTATATTCATCTGGATATTATTAGCTAAATTTAATCAATAATTGATTACAATTAATGGTTTTTAATTATTTAGTTACCCAATACATTTTCTTCTACCTATCATAGTTGAATATTTTTTAATTTTTAAAAACATCTATATTTGGAAAAAAATGAATTGTAACCCATATCAAAATGCATTCATTAACCATATTAATATGGAATAAATTCTGAAATTGTATTTTTATTAAAGTATACTGTCTTTATTAACTATTATGTCAACTATTATACAATTCTTTTAAGTATTATATTTACTATTATTTTTGAATAAGGTGCAAACATTTTTTGTAACTGTTCGTATATATTTCTACATATATTTAAACTTTGGCATGTATTTCTAAAGTCTTAAAATACCATCAGACTGGTGGCCAATTGGGATTTGGGCAAATAATCATTTCCAGGTCATCTGGCCTTCCTTCCACATCAAAGCTCCTTCCAAACAAAATGTTTTATTTTACCTTCATTAATCATCGTTGCTTTAAAGTATTAATTTGTGCATAATAGTTTAAAGAAGCTTAAAATTATTATTTTTACAAGTTCCAAAGTTGTTATATAATAAAATAAGTATATTAATTAACAGTTTAATTTAGTTAACATTTTTCTTTTTCTTTTTTAGTAAATTATAGAAACATACATTTTAACTTTTTGTATTATTGAGTAGGAGAAAATCAGCTTGTCATGCCTCTTTGTTGACCTCGTTGTATTGTTAGAAGGTTACATGAAATCATAGTACAATACTACAATCTAACAGGTTAAGTAGCATTACACATTTTTTCAAAAGTAATTTCATGGTAATTAATGTACATAATACTTAACCTAAACAGTAGTTACATTTAATATCGTTGGTAAGTACTAACTTATGAATTTAAAGTTGAATTAGGGGTGTCACTTGATATAAAAAAGAATAACAACCATTTAGTGGTTAACTATTTCATCTTTTATTAGCGTTTTTCTAGTAAAATAATAAAATATATTGTTTTGTTTTCAACATTAATTTGACAAAATTATCTAGTAAAAATCCCAGTAAAAATAGTAGGTATTTGTATAAGTTAATAGTACTTATTACTTAACAAAAATACAAAAAAAAATTTAATATTAGGTATTACATTATTAATTGATATTTGTATTGTATTTCAATATAGGTACATTATGCCAAAAAATTGTTTCTTAATTTTATTGACTTAATAAAAAAGATACAAATTTAAATTGTTTTATTGTGTGTGCCAATAATATACTCTCAAAAGTTTACTACATACAGTAAATCTTAATATCTTATCATAATTTATATAAACAAAAACTAATGCTAGTAGAAAAATATACAGTACATTTTAATATCTTATCATTAGGTATTTATGTAAACAAAAAATATCCATCATAATCTTGTTTCAAATATTATATTTTCCAACTTTATAAATCAGTATAAAAATATTTTTTAGCTATTTATATTTTATTTGCAATTTATTTTAGTATTTATGTACATACCTACCTATGGTTACTATTTAATTTAATAACATGGAATAATTATTTAAAATCATTATTTCATTTTTGCAGACATTATGGCAGAAGTTCAAGATGCTACTAATGTTGGTAAACCAGTACCAATAGTTTTGGCTGAAGAAGATCATCAGTTCGTACTCGATGAAGAAGCTCTTGAAAGTATTCTTTTGAAGGATGATATTAAAGATCGAAATGTTGTTGTGGTATCTGTTGCTGGATCTTACCGAAAAGGGAAATCATTTTTAATGGATTTTGTTCTCCGATATATGAAAGCCACAGTAAATAAACCTAAAAAATAATTACTAACCTTAAACATAATAATATCATTAATAAATAATAATATTGTAGTATCATTTAAACCTAATAAATGAAGATGCACATTGGATTGGTTCAGATGATAAGCCATTGGATGGCTTTTCCTGGCGTGGCGGATCTGATAGAGACACCACAGGTATTCTTATGTGGTCTGAAGTATTTAAAGCCACTTTAGACGATGGTGAAAAAGTAGCCATCGTACTACTAGATACCCAAGGTACATTTGATAGTGAAAGTACAGTCAAAGATTGTGCCACGGTCTTTGCATTAAGCACTTTGCTTAGCTCAATCCAAATATATAACCTAAAATTTAATATACAAGAAGATGATTTACAACATCTACAAGTAATTTTTTTTTGTTTTATTTTATTTCAGTTCACCTCCTTAATTTTGACCAACTTTTTTTTTTAGCTGTTCACTGAATATGGCCGTTTAGCACTTGAAGATTCTGGTACAAAACCATTCCAGAAATTACAGTTCTTGGTTAGAGACTGGAGTTTTCCATATGAAGCTGAATATGGTGCAGAAGGCGGAAAAAAAATATTAGACAAAAGATTGCAAATATCTGACAAACAACACCCTGAACATCAGTCTCTAAGAAAACACATTAAATCGTGTTTTTCTGATATCGGTTGTTATTTAATGCCTCACCCTGGTCTAAATGTTGCTACTAATCCCAACTTTGATGGAAAACTATCTGGTAAAAAAAATTGCAACTACAAGAATATTTAATGAAATAAAATATTAATTTTTTATGAATATTATTCTTTAGATATTGAACCAGAGTTTAAAAAAAACCTTATAACTTTAATACCGATGTTGTTAAGTCCAAACCAGTTAATTTTAAAAGAAATTGGTGGACAAAAAATAAAAGCGAAAGAGTTAGTCCATTATTTCAAAGCATATATTAAATTATGTACTGGAGCAGAACTTCCAGAACCAAAATCTATGTTTGATGTAAGTTTAAGTAAATGCCTATAAAAAGTAAGCAAAAAAACCATAATTGTAATAATTTTATGTTAGACCACAGCTGAAGCTAATAATTTATCTGCTGTCGCATCTGCTCGGGAAGTGTACCGCTCTATGATGGATACTATTTGTGGTGGTAACAGACCATATTTAAATTCTAACTCACTAGACGTTGAACACTTTAAAAACAAAGATATTGCAATAGAACAATTCATTACCAAAAGAAAAATGGGTGGTGATGAATTTTCGGAATCTTACAAATTTAAATTAGAAAATGTAAGATCATATAATTTATTATTGTATATTATACATTGTTTATAAGCAGGGCTCGGGACTTAAAGCACTTAAAATCATTAAAATAAGCGCTTAAATAAGCACAAAAAACATCATTATAAGCATTCAAATAAGCATTTAAAAAACTTAAATTTAAGCAAAAAAATTTATTAAAAAAAAAAAACAATAAAATAAAAATAAAAATTTATCTTTATATTATAAAAAAAATTAAACTTCATTTGCAGGACTGAGGATTTTATGGATTTTCCAAGGGATTTTCTGAAAAATAAAATGTAAACAATATTTACAAATAGTTGAAAAAAAATAATTTTTTAATAAATTTTAATAAATTTTTTTATTTAAATTATTTTTAATTTTAATTCTATCAAAAACAACTTTGCAGTAGAAAACCATAAAAAAGTATGAAAACTGGTCAAAAAAGCAATAAATATCATAAAAACTTGAAATAAGCATTTTTTTGAAAAATCACTAAAAAAAGCACTCTCAAATTTCATAATTGAATGTGTTGTAACATGACATACACTTCTATAGTACTCTGCTACATTTTATGTCAATCTAAAAAAATAAGCAAATGCTTTAAGTCCCGAGCCCTGTTTATAAGTTATTATTTTATATCATCAAACTTATAAATACTCAAATAATTTTTAGGACATTGATGAAGACTTCTTAAAATTTAAATCACAAAATGAAAGCAAGAATGTATTTAAATCTGCACGTACACCAGCAGTATTCTTTTCAGTTGCAGTTGCTTGTTATTTCATATCTGGATTATTTAACTTCTTTGGAATATACTCTGTAGCCAGTGGTATTAACTTAATAATGGGTCTTGCTCTTCTCATTCTTATATTATGGTCATATATAAGGCAAGTGTATTAATTATTTAAATATTTATTATTTGTAGTTTAAAAAATGTGTACTTATTAGGTGTTTTCAATTAATATTTAATACCTATACTGCGGCCTACGAGAGTCCATACGTAAACCGCGCATCGATAAAGTAATACCCGACGTCTGTTTTCTCCCACCATGATGTCATTCCCACTATTCGGCAACATGCAGATGCGCACAGACGGATGCGTTTGGACATTTGGACTCTCGTGGGCCGGAGTATAGACAAAATTTATTGTACATTTTATTTAAATGAATTCAAAATTGTATCCTTCAGCTTCTATGCAGTGCTTCCAGCGGTTTTGACATTTTTGAAAACATCTTTGAATTTCAGCCAAAGCTTTTATAGCTTTTAGTATTGTTCTCGTTGAATTATGAATGGTCTCATTATAATCCTCTAATACGACAATTAAACTTAGGTTTTAAAATCATCATATCTATAAATCCATGTTTTAGCACCAGTAATAATTAATTTTATTATATTATATTAGTCTCAAATTCAAATTTTCATTTCCAAACACTTCAACACAATTTTGGTATTTAATTTGTGGACACCATTTTCATACTCAATTCATCTGATAATTGAATGACAAGCACCAATTATTTGCCAACTTAATTATCTACTTCTCTGACAGTTAACCTTTGATCAGTTAATAGTTACAGTCTTACATAACAACTTCAAAAAGCTAACTTATCAAGTCAAAAGTTTCGGTAGATTTTTATCGATTTTAAACAAAATTTATTACTAAGGTATAGTACCGTAATATTATGAAACTGGTTTTATAAAATACTTCTAACTTTGAATACAATCTGTCTATAATTGGTTTGAGAAAATAACATTTAATGTTGACCAAAATACTGGAAGTTATGTCTAGATTATTTTGGTACGGATAAAGTTTGTTTGTAAACATTTTAGTATTTATTGAACATATCTCGTCTTACTTATTTTACCCATACAATTTTGACCTATTGTTTAAAGAAAGAAGAATACTTAATCAATGCTTGTGATTCATGAATTTAATATTTTGTTCAGTCTTTATTACCACTTACCTCATGCTTATAGAGTTTCAATTAATATTTTAAATTTTGTATTCTATACAGGTATAGTGGAGTACATAGTGAACTAGGGTCAACTATTGATGATGCTGCTAATATTATGTGGGACAATGTTAGTATTTCTATTAATCATTTAAACATATATTTACATTGTTAATTATTTGAAATTGTTTTAGTTTTTGAAGCCAACCTATGAAATTTTTCTTCAAAAAGGTTTAGAACAGGCCACTAACCAAGCTATCAACATAGCGGTGAATAATACAACATCTCCTATTACTGGTATTCAGTCGCCATTTGTAAAAAGGCCTATGCAAAGAATGAATTCCCATGTCGAGATGAACGACAGGTTTAAACAGACATGATATAATATTGCCTCATGGCGTTAAGTCGTATCATAAATGGCACACATATGTCAACTTTCTGTGATTATATATATTTTTTTTTTTTTTATATATATATATAAAATGTTATACCTATCTACTTGTATGTTAAATTCATTATGTTTATCATCATTTTTAAATGTTAATGTGTATTAATAGTAAATACTATTTATTGTATTGAATACGTAAAGATTGTTTCATTATTTTTCAAGCAAATAATAAATTTTGTTCCAAGGAAATTTCTAACCTAGATCTATTTTAACAATACAAAAATAGTAACAATTTCATTATGTAACATCTAGTTTTAATTATTTTATTAAAACATGTTGTATCATTTAATAGACATATTCAATTCAACAATCATTTTTATATTATCTGATTTTGATAATTTTTAATTAGCAAATCCCATCTTAGTCTTCCAAATATATTTTAATTGTCATTTTTCTTAGATAAATTGCTCAAATCACAGGGACTAGAACCAAGCCGTAAAATTTCTTATATTCAGCTATATTAATTTTGTTTTAATATTTTTATTAACATACGGCTTATTGTTAGGTCCGTTATGCCTTAATCGCCAATAATGTATTCGCAATAATAATAATTAATAACTAATGTTTAAATAATTCTATTTAATTAAGTTATTGTATTTCCGATTTTTAATTTATGTTAATCATGGATTATACTATTGTTTTATGTAAAAAAAACATTAAACGCAACGGTTTATTGGTAAAGAATTATAATGTATTAATTAATTTCATTGCCTAAATATATGTAAATCAATAACCGTTTTACTGTGGGTTTAAGATTAAATTGTATGTACATAAATATTACTATTTTAAGTGCCATGGATGTTAAGTTAAGTACGGGACTGTTATTTTTTTCTGGATTTATGTTATAGCAAAAAATAATATTAAAAACAAGGGTTATATTATTTATTTTTGTAATATTCATAATCATATTCGAGCGAATGGTATTTTATTGTATGTATAAATAGAGCAACCAAAATTAAGATATTTGTTCCAATATAATGTGAATGTGCAACTTTAATTTTATGTGAGTACAAGTTGTATGTTAAAAATACCAGATGTTTTGTATTTAGCATATTACGTTTTTAGTGTCAGACAATGATTGTCAATGTTTTGGGTGTTTAGGTTGTTGTGTTCATAATTTTATGATTAAATGTATGTTCTATATTTTTAATGAAGCATATTTTGTACTTTATGAGTTATTATATATAGTTATTAATATTGTGAATTTTGTCAATCAAGCACTTAACCTAAACCCAAAATATCTATTTTTAACCAGTTCCTTTTAAATAACATGAAACTATAATCTATTCCAACATAATATAATATTAACATTTTTTATTTCAACCTATAGGTAACTTAATTCATACAAAATGTTGTCGTAAGTATCTACTTAATTAATCATCTAATTCAAGTTCAAACTCGATAGAAAAAAGTTTTAAATACTTTTATTTCATTTATTTTTGCAGAACCTGGATGGTAGATAAAAGTAATTTAGTTCTAATCTTTTATATAACAACTTAACAGCCAATTTTATTTTTCAAAGTTTGCAACAACTTCTCTAGATATCTTATTTATATTACGTACCGTGTGCTCTTATATTACGTTATAATGTACCTATTTGTAAATAAAGTTTGCTACAACAACAAAAGTTGAGTCAACAGTAGCAAGATTGCAGGGTTGGTCCTACCCAATTTTTATTTTCCCAATCCACTATCCATCTGACCTGCTAACTAAATATTGCCTAAAGGGGGTTCACACCATAGACCTATTAACTAGTTAATAGGTCTATGGTATGAACCCGGCTTTATCTGCACATAAATGTAACCACACGGTCAAAAGTTGAATATATTCAACTATGCGGTATCGTTTGGTAACTGTGGTAACCGTGATTATTTTACACGACACGGTGTAGTGTGAACCATAGACCTATTAACTAGTTAATAGGTCTATGGTTCATACTTAATGTAACCACACGGTCAAAAGTTGAATATATTCAACTATGCGGTATCGTTTGGTAACTGAGGTAACCGTGATTATATTACACGACACGGTGTAGTGTGAACCCGCCTTTACTCCTTGGATAGAATAAAAAATATGTTCCAAAGAGATATACGGAGAAGATTATAAGACTTACATATATATTATATAGTACCAAAATTAAAAATGGTAAAAGACACAATGTTGAACGAAGCATTAATTAGGTATTTGTCTGTATTCATTAACTATATTTTCAAGTTAAGGAATTACAACCAGCATTCAATGGAATAAAAACTTGAAATAAAAAATATCTCGTAAATTTATAATTATCTACTAACAAAAAAATATTATCGTACATTCATACAAATATTATACGAATGTGTTTTTTTTTTTTTTTTAGTATGTAAAAACACGATAATTAATGCTTCGATTTTCAACTTCTGTATCTTGTATCTATCTTGATGGGAAAGTGAATCCAGTTGGGGAGGTCAAATTCCAAGAAGTTCTCTAAAGCGCAGGGAAAAACCTATATAAATTAGTTTATTCACAATAATATGAAATATACTTAGTAATATTGAATATCATATAGGCTGACTGACTGTCTTCACTCAGAATCGTTTTTCTTATACAATTATATTATAATAACATTGAATTCAAATTTAACAAATTTAATACATTTTATTAGTCGTTACTTATACAAAAGCAGAATATTTTTCCCGCAATAGGTACCTACTTTAATAAAATAAAAATATTTTGTTCAATATGTTACCTACCAATCTGGTTACCTACTATACAGTCTGTATACAGTCAATTACCTATACATCTAAACAGTATAGTAGTATACAATAATAAACTAATAAGTCATAAACTAGGACCTAGGTAGGTACCTACTAGTTACCGCAGCAGGTGAGTTGATTCCCGAGACCTACTTTATGTATTAATTGATTCACGGGTCATTATGCCACGGTATACTCAGTGCCGTAAAAACCGGGTGTGCAAAGTGTGCACCGCACACAGGCCTCGGGCCTCATAATATATCGAAGGGCCTCATAATATATCGAAGGGCCTCAAAAGATCTAAAGACTAAATATATTAAACTAATATAAAATTATTAAAATATATAAATTATTTATTATTGATTTGGAAACGAAACCAATGTTATTTCATTTTTTTTATATAGCATGGAGTCGTGATCACTGTTTTTAGATTTTGAGAGGAACGAACAAATGTATTGATTTTACAAGACGTGAATAATTTTTTTCATTTCTGTCGGTCATCAACATTAACAACATTGGGTGGTAAAAATATTCCGAATTTCGAGATCAGCATTTTTTCTGTTAGATAAGTGAATCTAGTTGGTACTTTTTGGAGATCGAAACCGAAATTTTTAGTTTTAGATATTACAAAGCGTCAAAAAAATAAAAAAAAATTGTAATTTTTACCTAAAACCAAAAATTTTATTTTTGGTATAACTCGAAAACTAATAACCGTAGACCATTGAAGTTTTCACCAAATATTTATATTAATATTTTCAATAAATAACATTTTGGAAAATTTTTACTTTTTTGAGTTAGTTATAGCCTTGAGAAATTGTTTTAAAATTATAGATTATTTTAAATTAAAAATTTTTTTTGTTTAAGCCCGAATTTTAGTCTGCTGACTTTAAAAATTGCAAAAAAAAGTTTTTGAGGTGTGTATTGAAAAAGATAATAAGGGGCCTCAATATTTTGGCTTTGCACACGGGCATCAAGTAGCCTAGTTACGGCACTGGGTATACTGGTAATCTCATTACCGAATACCGATTTTTAAAAATTAAAAAATTTTTAATTATATTATTATAATAAATATATAAATGCCAAAAATGTTCACCCTTTTTTCTTTTAACAATTATTGGTATTGTGTAGGGGTTGGGTTATTAGTTATAACTTATAGGTCAATAAGTCAATATATTATGTCAATATGTGTCAATTAATAGTCAATTATAATTAATAATGCCATTAAAATATTAAATATAATGTGACCAATTGGGGGGTTTTTTTATGACTGACTTGGTGTTTAGACTTTTTAGTTTTTACCAAGTGCTATGTTAAGGTATAATACCGCCGGGGGCACACATATTTTGCAGCCTCGTAAGTCATAAGTTATACCGTTAGGAAACAATAATATAAATAAAAAAACTCACACATCGTATGGATAACGTTGTTTATTACACACTGCACGTTGAAAAGCGTACCTACGTTATATAGGTAAGTAGGTACATATCATTTGACATGTTGGCTGTTAGACGGCATTGTTACAGGTACGAAAAAACGTGGGAACACGTGGCTGGGCCGTCTCAGGCAAACATCTTCTTGACCATGTCACCGTAACGGGCGTTCTGGGCGTCCACACCGCGCGCGGCCACGTCCCGGTAACGTTCGGCCACCGCGTTGCCGGGTTCAATGTTCAGGGCACGGACCGCGTCGACCAGGGCGCCGTCGAACATGCGGAGCTCGGCGGACGCCTGACACCGGCGAACCAGGGCCTTGACGTTGCTCGGCTCGACGGCCAGCGCCTTGCCGGACAGCTGGCGGGCGTGCTCGTAGTTGCCCAACCGCAACTGGCAGGCGGCCATGTTGTTGCACACTACCGCATACATGGCGTCCCGGTCGTCGCGGACAGCATCCACGTTACGGACGAACAACACCGCCCTGGCCGCCCGGTTGAACCGGTGAAACGCGTCCGCGAACCGGCCCTGTCCGTACAGACGATTGCCCACATCCTTGTGCCGGGCGGCCTCCGTCAGTTTCAGCCTGTCGTCGCCGCGCCAGCCAGCTCCGCCAGCCGCCTTTCGCACGGCCGACAACCGGACGCGGCCATTAACGCGGCCACCACGTCCATCACCCACGCAAAACTCCCGGAGCTCACCCGGTCGCATACCGGCCACTACCGCTTCCAGGCCCCTGTCCACCACGCAGTCCGCTTCGCCGAGCACAAACACAAGCGCGCGGTCAGTCCCGTCGAACCACTTGGACGTGGACGGGCCGCAGTCAGTCAACGGTGCCTGCAGCCACACGTCCGTCAGCGCGACGGAGCACTCGTCTCCGATCAGCGGTCGAAACACGGAAGACGGCGGCGGCGTCTCATCGTTGTCAGCCAACGGACGCTGGTCGATCACCTCGCAAACGGGAATCCTGTTCATTTCTACGCAGCCGTCACGGTTCACTGAAGACTTCAAGCAGGCTTTGGATCCACGAGATTTCCACTTAGTCACTGCAATACCCACACGTCGCCATCATTAGTATTCATTTAATACTATTAAATACTTCAATACTACTTTAATACTATTAATATAAACGCCAGTATGAGCTTAAATACATTATATATTATGATATTTAAGTACCTATACAATGTTATATCATATATTATAATTATAATATACCTATGGCAAGTATATTATATTACATAATAAATACAATTTAACAAAACCTTAATTGAATAGGTATTAAGAGAAAAACAAAAATATAAAAGTACAGTATAGACGCATAGACAGATAAACGGAGTTAAAGGAAAACTTACTGTAAACCATTGGTGTAGACAGGTATTTATATTTAGGGAGGGGGATATATATTCATAATTTTTAAGGTAAATCACAAGATAGTGCCCCCGCAATAAAATATTGTATATAAAAAAGTAGTGATCTGCCATAGGTAGGTACCTACTATTGGTGTCTACTGTCTAGATAAGTAAATTTAAAAATTGATTGGGATACGTAAAAAGTAAACTAAAAAAATTTTAATTTTAAATTAGTCAAAATATTTTAGTGAATTTTCACGTGGGTATATAAAATAATAAAATAAAAACGTTTGGTGAAAATTTCAAGTACCTACGGTTATTAGTTTTTGAATTACAATAAAAAATAAGAAAATTCCTATATGAGATCTTGTTCATTTACGGGCGAATATATCTAATGTCTAACTTCAGACGCTCATAAAAAAATATTGTGGATTTACGCTCAACTTTTTTTTTTAATTTCCACTAACAACTTATGAGAAATCTATAGTATTAAACTTTTAAGTTTTTTGACCAAGCAAGATAATTTGTATTTATAATAATTTAAAAAAAAAACCAAATAAAACTCGAAATTTTCTTCTCACGATCAATATAGGTAGCTTAAAAAAAGTCAAAAATTTTTTTAAATTTTATTGTGTATAAAAAATGGTAATATAAAAATTTGAGAAAATTTAATTTATCTACGGTAGAGGGTTTTTTGTAGAGTTACACCCAATAACAAATACGATTTTTTAGAATTTTATCCTTATTTTTTTCCCTGACTTTTAAAAACAACTTTTTCACTTTTGGTCAACAGATGATAACGAACAAAAAAATTAAAATAAAAACAGACATAAATACATCATTGTAAAATCAATATAATTATTGTTCCACTCATACTCTAAAAAAAATCATGGGGAGATCTATAATGTCTACGGCCATGCTATAAACTTAATAACCTTATTAGAGATAGAACTTTAGAATGAACCTAAGATAACCAAGCATTTTGTATCGAATCAATAGTGTAAAATTTGTTACATTCTCGATAGATATACAATCTATATTTTGTGAGGGGTTATTATAATTTATAACGATAGTTTGTTGGGTTTTTATTGATCACGTAGGACTAGAACAAGACGAGTAAAATTCACAAGCTATAATTATATTTAAAAGTTTGAACGAGAATTAAATATCTGCAAGTCTACGCCTAGAAGTAAGAAATCCTAAATTAACACAATCTCGATTATTTTTAGGAGTGTAAATGTGTAATTGAGAAAGGTGTAGGTACCTAGGAAAATGTTTCACTGTCTTTTATAGCCCATAAACCATATCAATCGCCTCTGAAAGTCTTAAAGCGCTCGAGCGATTCAATAACACCTATATTTGCGAATGGTTCCATAGAATTTAACAATACCTATTACCTACCCACCAAGTATTGGTCCGACAAGTGAGACATTATAACGTTTTGAGACAACGCTCGTTTTTTAATTATTTTGTGTTTCTAATTTTAATAATAATTAAAAAACCAAAATGTCTAAAGGATTTTGAGTAAATTTGTTCAATATGTGAGGAAAACAGCAAGTTAGGCTGTGAAATATGACTCAAATATCCCTAAAATTGTCTCTTCGAGGCAAACACCAAGACTAGTCATAGCTTGTATTAAATGTCCAAGCTTTTTTACCCAACAAATACAATTTTATTGAAATGTATGTATCTATGGTAATTTGTTTTAGAGTTACACATTACACTAAATGTGATTTTGTCAAAAACTGATTTTGCAAAGAATTCCAGTTTTTCCTTAATTTTTATTTTGTTTTCCCCAGCGCTTTTGAAAACTATTGGAAATTTCGGGAAATTTTGGCCTCCCAATGCACCAACTAGATTCACTTTCCCATCGAACAAGATACTGTTGAAGAAAATCGAAGCAGTTTTACTGCCCCAAACAGTATATATATATATATCATAGACACAAAACAAACACACATCCTTGTAAATCGCTCCACTCAGAATCTAAAATGTTTGTTGTCGTTCAAAAAAAGCAATAACTTATGGTACTTGTTTGTTATCGCCCCGCCAGTACACCTTATAAAATTTAACGCCCCGCCACTCTTGTTTGTTATCGCCCCTCCATAAAAAAAAAAAAATATTTCAATGTATAATATTATTTTATTTTAATGTTATAATGTTATTTTGTTTTAAATATATAAATGTATAGCATAAAATGTAAATTAAAAATGTATAAAATATAAAATATGTATAAAAATGTAAAAATATATGAATATTTTAGTTATAATGGAGGCCAGAATTCAGAAATATCTTTGAGGATAGTTTCAAATGCGTCTTGTTTTCCGAGACGTGTTCTCCACATAAACTCTGCCAAATATGATTCAAGAAAATTTCTGTTAGTTCCACGACGCTTTTTATTGCCCCATTTAGCAGAACCCCACAACCTCTCAATATTTTGGGTGTGAGCCCCTGTGTCCGGATCGACAAAATTCGTAATCCTTTTTCCTTTCGGCAACTTCTTTTTTGACAACGCCATCGCGATCCCTTGATAAACATTATATGGCCATTTTCACACACTTCACTAACTTTAACTATATTATGTTGTTGTAAAAAGCTAATTCCAGTATCACTGTTTGAAACAATTGAAAGTAATTCAGTAAAATTCATTTTAACGTATAAATTAATTTTTTCGAATTTTTCTGTAGTAGGTAATAAGTAAATGAAACGGTAAACGAAAGCCAGCAACGAACTAAATATCCTATATCATAAAAATGATAAAAGTACATTTTATCATTTTCTAAAATAGATCATAAACAATTAGCAATAGCGATAAATTGTATGCGATGTACTGGAGGGGCGATAACAAACAAGAGTGGCGGGGCGATAAATTTTATAAGGTGTACTGGCGGGGCGATAACAAACAAGTACCAAAAAAAAATATTTATATAAACGTTTTTTTTTTAAAAAGAGTGTACCTACTTTGTCACTTTGATAAAATAAATACAGTATATTATATGAGGGATAAGCGATGTACCGATGTGAGTAGTAAAATATTATGTTTTTGAGGTCACACTATTCCCGCTACCGGCGCTACCTGAGCAATTAGTGGCGAGAGATATTTTACTTAATGGAGTCCCTATTAGGTTTACCTACCTACTCGGCGACTTATCACTATTCCTTCCTGCAATCCTAGTCGATACCTACCTTGCAATAACCCACCTACCCACTGATTAGTGTATCGGGAGTCGGGACTAAATAACTTACTTCACTTTGCCACGCTACCGGGAGCAAGCGCAAAGGGGTCTGCGGGCATTACCTGTGAGTATTTATTAGCAACCACCGTCCACCGGAGTCTGGAGCTTCAACAGAAACGGGTGATGAGTGACCAAAAAATAAAAGTACTGCAGACGTTTCCGGGATTTGGTTCATTCGCAGTCACCCATCTGTAAAACACGTTACGTGTCTGTATGACTATTAGGCGATACTATAAAGGGTAGTTTGGAGTACTGGAGTAGGCAATGGTCGGTTTTTTTTAACGGCCAATGACGTCGAAAGTTTGCGGCTTTAACAGCTGTAGCTAAATAGATGCTGCGTACACGACAAAACGGAACAAGTGCCCAAGTCGTCGAAAGCTCGTGCAGGTGTTACCGCAGTCATGCGTCTTGCAGGTAACGTCGACGGCCTGTCTGCAAGAACGCACGGATCAGGTCAAGTCGATTTTCATTAAATTTGAACTGGATCCCAAACTTTCTACTAAATATCTAATAAAAGTTAAGTAAAATCATATAAGCCTATTGTTGCCTCTGCGCTTATACTATACCTAAAATAATGATACGAACACTAAGTATACAACTTAACGATGCTTAAAACTAATAATATTGAGTTTGTAGATGATCTTGCCTAAATAATTTGTCTGAAACGTTACATCAAATTCGTCTCCAGGCCGATAGAATTGATTGTAAAATACTCCATTATTCACCAAAGCATATTCAGAGTCAAAACCTGAAAATAAACACAAGGCAGTCTGTACATTTATAACTGATCTTAAACTAGTCACAGTTATCCTTAACATATCATATATTGACTATCGTGTAAATCTACTATGCCAGTAATATGTATATAGGACTATAGGAGTATACATTTAAAATGTAATCAAACAAAAACTTAAAATTGTTTTTAAAAATATATAATTAAATCATAACCATTTGATAGTACACTAAATATGTCATATGCCTCGTATAACAAATAATTTAGGTACCACAGTAGTACAATACTGTTTTAGAGTTGTTTCCTCTGAGTAAATATTTATTATTTCTACACAGCTATAATATTTTCATTGTTTCTATTATCCACAAATATAATTTATTTATAACACAGAGTTAAAATCTTTTTTAAATTCATTTTTATGAATGAGTTTGTAACAGTAATTCAATATTATTCATGAATCTCTAAATATTTTTTTTATTAAGTGTATTTCATTTTAAGTTCAGTACAAATTTTACACCAATCCAGTTCAATGATAGGATGATTTTTACACTTTATAGTGACTATAAATAATTGAATACAAAGAGCTATAAGATTTATAAGCAATGTTATAATATTCTCTAAAATGCACAAGGTATAATCTTATTTGTTTAAAACTTG